GCTCTTCAGGAGACAAATCGTCAAGTCCATGTAGATTCCCGCTTAGATTTTTCCAAAAGATTTTAGGAATTGACTAAGTTTGAATTACTGATAATGATGAATAAATTTTTGGATAAGGGTTCTTTAAGTAGAGCGATAAATTCTACTTACATAGCATTAATCTCAAATAAAATTTTGATTTCAGGTATATCTGATATATGCCCAATCAGCTTGTTAACAAGCCTATACAAAATCATAGCCAAAGTTTTAACTGTGAGAATAAAAGGGTACTGAAAAGAGTTATTGGTGGTACTCAATCAGCATTTATTCAAGGCAGGATAATCATTGATGGGGTGTTGATAGCATAGGAATGCATTCATTCCAAAGTCATTCAAGGGGAGCCAAGTGTGTTAATCAAATTAGATTTGGAAAAGGCATATGATCGAGTAGACTAAGATATACTGTTAGAAGTCTTAAGGTGCATGGGGTTTGGAGAGAAATGGTGTAGATGGATCAGTAGCTGTCTAACATGCACTCATTTTTCAGTGTTGGTAGAAGGAATTCCAAAAAGCTTTTGTTCGGGTTGTAAGAGGGTTGAGACAGGATGATCATCCTACGCCTTTTTGTTCACAATCATGAGGGTTTCAGTAGAACCATCTCCAATGTTGCGAATAGGGGAAATTTTGAAGGATTCAAAGTGTCACCACAGAGTCAACAGGTCTCTCATTAGCAATATGTAGACGACAGTGTTGTTTTGCTCGGCTTCAGTTGATCAGTTTGTTAACATTAGAAGAATATTTTTTTGTTGCGAAGTTGTCCTTGGCCTTAAGGTAAACCTGAAAAAAAAGTCAATTGTGGGAATTGCGAGTGATGAGGCATTAGTAGCAATTTTAGCCTTTCATTTGGGTTGTAAAGTAGATAAATTTCCTATCAAATATCTTGGTATGCCGATTTCTGACAAAATGTTGCCTAGATCTGTTTGAGACCTTGTGTTATAGAGAGTGACTACAAAATTGGATCTTTGGAAGTCCAAACATCTTTGGGGGTTAGAGCAACTTTAATCAAGTCTTCTTTTTCGAACCTTCCAATCTATCAAATATCCCTTCTTCAAATGCCAACCTCGATCATGAAATCTATTAAAAAGATGATGAGGAATTTCATGTAGGGTTCGGGAGATTTTAGTAGAAAGTATAATTTGGTCAGCTGGGACAGAGTATGCACACCGGTTATTAAAGGCGGATTGGGAGTGACAAGGCTAAATATATGAATCGGGCTTTACTAGCCAAATAGTGGGGAGCGCTAGAGGAGGATAACTCGTTATGGCTAAATATTGTAAAGGCAAAATATGGGATTGACCGAGATATGGGGTGGATGGGTGGAGGGAGAAGGATGAGAAACCAGTCTCATGTTTGGAAAGGAATTCTCTATAATAAGCAGTTTGTGAAACAATATATTCGATGGGAGATTGGTGAGGGGTCAATGGTACTTTTCTGGTATGATAGATAGGAGGGAGACGCACCATTGAAATTAACCTTCCCTTTGGTGTATAACTCTGTTATAGACCCAAGAAATTCAGTTAGAGAGATGTTTGATGGGGTTTAGAAAGGGTGGAACAGTGAATGTGGGTATAATAGAGTAAACGATGAGTTTATTCATCAATACTCAAATTTGCTACATCGGCTAGAGGGTAAGGTAATCTTTGATAGGTTGTGTGATGGAGTAGTTTGAGAAGCCCAACCGAATTGTTGTTTTTCGGTTAAATCAGCTTATCATTTGTTGTTTCATTATATAATAAGATAGAATAGATAAGCCCTTAGGTATGTATGGTCTTTGAAAATTCCCCACAAGGTTAACCTCTTCTTATGGGTGTTGTTTCAAGGTAAATATCTTACTATTGGCAATCGAATGAACAGATGTAGAACCATCACAAATGTTTGTTTATTATGTAAAGAAAGTGATGAGAATGAGGTTCACATGTTCCTTCATTATCCTATTACTTATGCCATTTGGTGTCGGTTTTTAAAATAAGATAGGGATTGTCGGGCCCATACCCCAAAGCCATATAAACTTGATTGATCAATTGAGTTTCATGGGGTTACCTAAGGTGAGGAATATCATTCAAATATTGGAGGAGCAGTAGTGCTTTGGGAGGTATGGCTTGAAAGGAACAGATATGTATTTAAAGGGATTTCAATGGATAAGGTTTTGGTGAAAAGGAAGATGTCACACATGATATGAAGATGGTTATTAGTAACAAAAGAAGGCTTTGGGAATACAAAGGTAGATGTGGAAGTTAATTTGGGGATACTCATGCAGCAGAGGAGTTTTAAGATTAGACCAAGAGGTAGATGAGAAACATTGGATATGGGTAGTATAAAGATTAATACTAATGAGAGTTCCTACAGTAATCCAGGACAGCATGCATAGGAGGAGTGGCAAAGAATCATAATGGAGAGATTATATTTTCCTTTGCTGGTCTGTATAGAGAGAAAACAACTAATGCGGCAAAAATGTTGGCAGTTTTACAAGGGTTAAAAATTGTGAGGGATAAGAATTTGAGGATTCCATGTGTAATAGAAGGGAATTCTTTGCATGTAATTAGCTGGTGTTCTAATATTCGAAAAACCACCATGGAAGTTGAGGTCTCTTTGGTTAGAAGATATGGTTATTGGAGATTCATTGGAAGTATCTTTTAGACATGTGCTTTGCTAGGCTAATGATCTAGCAGATTCTTATGCGAATAAGGGTGTTTCTCTTCAATTTGTTTTAATTTCTAATTCTGCTTTGATTTACACTGTTGTAACCCTTTCCTTTTTATCAATAAAATTTTGAACATTGCCAAAAAAAAAAAAAGATATACCAACCAAGGTAACGTGGCCAACATTGATATTGTTTCAAGGATCACTGTAGGGGAGCTTTATAAACCTGTATTATAATTACAAAACAAGAGCATACGTACTATAATCCTCAGGACTATGGGAAACCTAGCTCCAATAAAAATAACATAAAGTGATAAAGAGAGAGTAGTACTCAGTATTAAGGTCATGTCATGTAATGTACTACTATGTCTAACCCCACATCATTCTCCAATTTGGATGACGCTTATCTTAAGGACCATGTTCTCTCTTTAATCGTAAGGATCATATGATTAGAATGGGTTCAAGGCTAAGTAGGTAGGATTGCGAAGCGCCACAATATGACATTTTGAGTTTCATTCTTAACATGGGTAAGAGACCCCATCCCTACTAAATTACCAAAAAAAAAAAAAAAATACAATAAGATCATATTATCTCTCCTATTTACAAACTCCGTCCAAGTTATCACCAAATCAATTCCTTAATGGGGTTCATGACATAATCATGCCCCTCAAAATGCATTTTACTACATCTATCATCGACCATTCATAACCAAATTAAAGAAATCAATGAGATGATTAAACGAACAAATATACAACAAAGTGGTTATTTTTCAAATAGGATTGTATGCATGAGACTATCTGCCTTTAGAATAAGGAGGTCACAATCACCTATAGTCCCCCGATGCGAAAGATGATAGTTTTGGTGTATCACAAAGTATGAAAATATTTTTTTTTAAGAGAAAATATCTCCTTATCCCTTATTTTTAACTTCCATATCTTATGAGACTCAAGAATTAAAAATATTACTTCTAAGCAAAATGTCTCCATCTTTTCTATCTTACAACCCCTTGGACCCTTTTGACCATAAATTTTTTATCCAAACAAACACTAAAATGACACCATATTCAAACTCCATCTCTCTCTCTCTCTAAAACTTTATTTCTCTCTCTCTTTGCTTCTCGATGAGTTTACCAGTCAAGGAGTTTAGCTTGAGTTCAAACACAAGCACACCTTCTTATGTGTGTGAGAGAGATGGAGTTTGGGTTTTAGAGAGAGATAGACTTTTAGAAAGAGAGATGGGGTTTGAGTTTTAGGGAGAGATGGAGTTTAGAGAGAGAGACGATGATGTGAGAGTGAGAGATGGAATTTTGAGAGAGAGAAGCGATGATGTGAGAGAGAGATGGACTTTTAGGGAGAGATATATATAGAATCATTTCATAAGTTGTTGAGGTCACCAATACATGGTCAAAAGGGTTTAGGGGTTTGGAAGATAGAAAAGATGGAGTCATTTTGCTTACAAGTAATATTTTCAATTCTTAGGTCTAATGAGATATAGAACTTAAAAATAGGGAATAATAGGATATTTCCCTTTTTAAAAAACTTTAAACTTGTACAATGGAATAAATGTGACCTCCAATTTCACATCCAATAGTCAAGATCAATTGTGAGCTCCATGGACTAGATATAAATAGTCTTATTGTATACTTTTCCTTTTCAAAATCCTCTCATTTAGGTAAGTTTTCAATAATTTTGTAAAAAAATTACCCAAATTGTCCTTATTTTAGATTCACAATCCTATACAATTGACGGTATTTGGTAACTTTATTCACCTATGCGAGTTTAGCCAGATGATTTTAATACATCATCTTGTTCAGGGTTCCAAATCCATAAAATGATTTTTTCATTAAAAATCTTGTTATAGGTTTTGAAATTTAAATCCCTTAAGTCTTCTGTGCGGGAAAAAACATAATAATCCTTCTTTTTCTAGGTTCCAAACTTGGAAAAATATTTTTGATATTTTTTTTTTTTTTTTTTTGAAACCCTGAACAAGCAAGATACTATTTGGATCAAATAATTTAGGCGGTTAAATTATCAAGACGCTTGCACTTGGTCAGAGTTTGAACCCTTGAAACCTGAGCCAATTATAGAGTCGAACAAATTGAGTTGCCTCATTCTCATGTTTGTAACTATGATAGATCTAATCGCAGGAAAAAGGAGATTTTATCCAAATAAAATGCTAAAAAAAGTAGAAAAAAATATAACTTATTAGAACTTATTAGAATATATTAGAGATGAATGAAAAAACAAAATAAATATACTTTTTGTATTTCTGGTAAAATAAAAACCTCTTTTTCAATCATAAAGGCCATTATTTTCGATACTTCGAAACTTCTGGCCAACCCCACGGGATAGCCGCTAGCACAACATGTACTACATGTAACCATACTATAATACGGGTAGAGGTCTGTCATCCCCACTGAATTACCCAAAAAATAAAAATAAAAAATTACGCACTTCCTTCAAAATGTCAAAAATTGTCCTTTTTTACTAATGCAAATTGAAAAGACATTCCACGTGGAAATCCCAGGTCTTGATGGGTTGGAAATTCATTACACGTGGAATCAGATGTGGCAACTCCATAAGACAAAGCCAATAAGCACCCCTGCAAGAGAGTAAAAAATTAGTTGGTGTAGAGACCTCCAGTTTTTTTCTTTGAAGATACCAATAAGTATTGGATTTTTAATGTTAAAGAAAAAAAAAACAATAAGTATCTAGTTATTTTTTAAACTTAATAAGTATCTACTTTGTATGTGAAGTTACATATGTGAAACCCAACTGAAAAGGAATATTTAATAGGTTTATTTTACTTAAGAGATCAAAAGATGGCGCAAGGGGGCTTTATGTTTGATACTTTGTCCCACATCATTGGGGAGGGAGGGTCCTTTCATTTAGGGGTTGCATTACTTTTGGTGTGTTAGACTATGCTCCTATTTAAATGCAATCTGTTTCAAAATTTTATCTCAGAGATGGATTTTGGATTTAAACTTTTACATCTCAACCAGAATCCCGAAAAAATATCTTGAAATTAGAAACATGTTATTTAGAACTTTGTTTTTGGACCTTTTATTTTAATTCATTGTAGATCTTCAAATCTGCAATAATTCTTGAGCTGCAAAATCATGCTATTGAAAATGCATCTAGATTGCATGTGTTTCAAATCCAAAGTCTATCTTTGAGGCAGGATTTTAGAAAGGGGTCGCATATAAGTAGAAAATCAATTAAAGAACTTTTAGAAGGGGACTACAAGAAGGCTAAGGAAGGTGTTGTCAAATATCACAGGCGTTTCTTAGTCAGCATTCATAAAAGGACAGACAGCTTATAGACAGTAAGTATATTGATGGCTCAAGAATGTGTACGTCTTCAAAAAATGATGAAAATAAACTGGGAGGGGAGTGATTTGCAAAGTAGATTTTGAAAAAGACATGATAAAGTAGATTGAAGGATTTTGATACAAATCATGGATGCAATAGGTTTTGGCGCAAAGCGGAGGTCATGGATAGATGGGTGCTTGTGCATATTTCTCAATTATAATAAAAGGAAGAGCTAATGGATCTTTTAAGGCCCAAAGTGGAATAAGCTAAGGAAATCTATTGTCCCCATTTTCGCTTACAATAATAGGTGAAGCCTTGAGTACAATGATGAAATTAGTAGAACACGGTTAATATCAAGTTTTGCAAATAATGGGTTAGTATGCAAATGATACTCTCATTTTCTGTGATACTATAGAATAACAAATTAAAAATTTAAAAAGATTCTTAAGGTGCTTGGAGCTGATAATTAGGCTAAAAGTTAACATGCAGAAAACTAAATGGAAGATTATTTCAAGGATTTTAGATAAAACGAAAAGGGGCATATTGATCAAAATTTCAGTGTAGGAGAGGGGCCTCTTGGATTCAAAGTCAAGGTTTAAAAACATGGGAATCTAACCTCAACAGACTGGGACTGATTCCCATTCTGTCGATTCCAAGAGACGATTCTCGATTCGAAGAAAATAGAAAAAAAATAGAAAGAGTAGTGTAGGGCAATTCCCGCTTCCAAGTTTCCTTGGACCCAGATCGATCCACACTGATTTCAGTTTGATAAATTATTAAAGGGAAAGGTACTCGCTGAAAAACCGGCGATTTGTTTGGCATGAAATTATTTTTGTTTTGGGCTAATTTCGTTTTCCTACATATGAAATTTGGACAAAGTTGTTATGGGTACTAGCACTCATATGTAAATATATGTCCCCTCTTTATGGTCCATTTTTAAGATGGATTTGAACTCCATTTTTGGCATATGTAATTTCTAATATGGAGATCATCAAGATATAAAAATTTTAAAACTAAAATTTTAATTTTTTGAAAAAAAAAAAATAGACCGTTGGTTTTTGCCTTTTTGGAGGGACCACCAATACATATCCAACTTTAAGTTGGATGTGTGATGCCTTGGGAGATGTAAATATGTATACTTTTGAACTTGCACTCCCCGACTCATAAAGCACTTTTCCTTTATTAAAGTTTTGACAAATTTACTAACGAACACGGGAAAAAAACGCAGCATTACGCTATTGCCTATGTATTGGCCATATGTTGAAGTCCTATTTTTGGAATTTTTTTATTCCCAATTGCCCTTGATTTGAAATTTATACTTTTGAACCACCTTATCACAAAAAAATAAGGGGTTCAGGTGGTTCAAAAGTCTAACTTTTGGATCACTTAAAGTCAATAAATAATAATAATAATAATAAATAAATAATAAAAGAAGAAAAGAAGTATGTCATTAACTAGAGTTAAATATACTTATTGTTCAATAACTTTAATATATCTTTACAACAACTGCAGATTATAATTCTATCATATGTTATTTTTGTATGTCTGATTTTTTCACTTCGTTTTTGTTTAGCCAATTCCAAAGTATTCACTATCATTTACTTACATAATTTTTAGCAACCCGTAGTTTTGCCCTGGTTTTTGGACTTCAACTTCTCTAATCAAAACTAATTTACTACCAGTGCTTTAGTTCACCAATATATTGTTATTCCCTGACTTGCTAATACTTTTCCTTTAGATACACCGAGAGTTTGATTTTATTTTATCATGTATAAGATGTATCTCTTTTCTAATCTACCATATAGCATCCAAACATCCTCCCCAAATTTAATGGCTGTGGCCTGCGAGTGATCACTATGTGGAGGAGACTTTCATGGCCTACATTTTCCCAAAAAATGAACACATTCTGATGATGATGTTTTAACAATGAGACTTGCAATTGTTTTTCTTATGGAAAGCAATCAATGAGGGCTCTGAAGTTTGTTATAGTCATTTAACAACACCCCTGTCATCAGATTTCAAAACAGAGATGGTTGGGATGTTATGGGCTTCATCTCAGAACCAGTCAAGATATTTTAGACCAGACTTTTAATGGAGGAAAAGCAACCCCAGCTGTTGAAATTGGACAGCTAGGTTAATGTTCATGTGCTGTAGCTCCCAGTGTGCAGACCGTATAAAACTCGAGATAAATGAAAACTATGGACAAGAAATGGACTGACCTGTGAATGTGTTCAGCATGGTTGGACTCCAGCAGCTATTCCCAGCAAACGATCGACCTGTGTTGACATGCGAGAGAAAAAGAAAAAAAAAGACACAACAAGTACATAAATGTCGTCGTTATTGTTAATGGAGAACATGTAATTTGTGAAGGATTGGGTAGTGTGATTACAGCAATGTCATTTTGTCACATTTGTAAGGAGGTAGAGATACAGAGAGACCATTTTGCAAGTCTTGACTCCAGAGGGAGATCATTCAAACAAGCCAGTCAATCTAATTTTAGACCCCATGAAGCAAACTACCGCATCTGTTTGTATAGAACAGGATGAAAGGGAGAGAGCACAACTCCCTTCTGAGAGACACATTGAAACCATGACCTACAACTTCTTGAATAAAATCATGTCCAAAGAGTGAATGCATATCATCTATTTCTGGAACAATCAGATACAGGTGATTAAGAACTCAAAAAAAAAAAAAAAAAGAAGTTCTTCTTTAGAAAATTATTCATCCGGTAAATCTGAGATACTCAAAGTTACCTGTCACATATGCAGGTGTTTTGTACAGGAAAGAAAGGCTATAATTTTCTCATATGGGAGTCAGTTATTCGCGTATTTTTTAAAAGATGATATGCCTCCATAAAAGCAGTATGTATTGCTCCCTCAGGTAAAACACCCTAGTTAGGATTATGTTTAGGATGCAGCAACGTGACCTACTGATCAATCTTTGAAAGTGAAAAATGCATACGCACTCTAGAAATGCCTTTAAGGGAAATATGCTGTAAAATCAAACAGAGATCATCAGTGTCTAAGAATTCAAAATCTATTTATTCGCTCCTCATATAAATTTGTTTTAGTTTTGTCTTTGGAATTTACAAATCTGAGACATCAGCCTTAGCCGTATTACGTATTTAAGGCATTATGGTCCTTGAGAATGCTCCCCAGGCAAAGGTCGTCAGGGTTGCAGGTGCCATGGCAAGAACTCGAGGTTCCATTCTCACCAGGTCCCAAATTAACATTTAGAAAAAAGAAAAAAGCATGGTGGTGCTGCTCACCTATGTCGCAGTCAATTGTGGAGTTCCATTCCCCGCAAAGGCACCTCTCTTCTCCCTTGACTTCTTCATATCCACACTCTCCCCCACTATCTCTGCACCTCCGACAATCAAACGATGATGATAATGATGATGACGATGACGACAGTGATGAACCCACTCCTCCTCTCCCATTTACACCAAATCCCACCCGTATCCCCATCCCCCACCCTCCCTCGACCCCCTCTTTCACAGGCCCCACCCTATACACACTTCCATACCCCTCACAGCCCCACCCACTCACATTCATACCTCTCCTTCCCACCTCGCTGCCTCCCACAGCGCAACAACCACCGTACTCCACCCCGCACCTGCTGTACACAGCCTCGCACCCCGCCCCCTCCCTGCACGCCATCCTCCTCTCCGGGAACCCCTGAAACACCTTACTCTTTGCACCACACCCCAACAACAGGAACACATTCTCAGGCTCCACCCACATGAACCCCTCATGCCACTCATCCACCATAAATCCCAGTGATCCACCGCTCTCAGACCGCCATGGCTTTGTGTTTGACGAGCAAGTTGGTGGTGCGGATGCCGGGTCTTGTATGGTGAGGATGCTGCTCGCATAGTCGATGGCTGAAACACGATAAGAATTGGAGGAGGAGTGGAGCATGAGAGCTCCATTTATACAGAACAAAACTTCTTTGAATGCAGGGTGGCCGCAGCCTGGGCTTGTCGTGAGCGGGTAGTCGACGGTGAGATTGCTGCAGAAAGTGCGGCAAGTGGCTGAGGTGGATGGCAGAGATGATCCCAGTAAGATGAGGAGGAGTGCCCTGAGGGCTTGGTTGATGAGCAGGGGGCGCATTGCCTGGGAAGGGAAGCTTGCTTCTTGTTGATGCGCTGCTCTCTCACTCAAAGGTTTTGTTTACTCACCATTGCCATTGCCATGATGACTGTGATTATGGTAAAGGTGGACTGAGTATTCTTTTCTTGTGTTGGGTGGCAAGAGTTCTTTTTCTTTTGGGGTTTTTTTTTTTTTATTCCCCCTGTTTCTTATTTATTGACCTGATATGGGGAAAGATGAACCAACCAACAGACACTTGACGCTACTTTTTCTTTTCTCTGTTTATTTAAATTTTCATTGTTCTTTCATTTATAATTTTTTTCTTCTTTTCCTTTCTCAAGGGAAAGTATTTTGTAGATGTGTGAGCTCAAATCTCATCGGAGAATGCAAATTCAGAGACGAAAAACTTGCAAATTGATCCTATCCACCTACAACAAAGGCTCCATCTTTTTGTTTTTTAGTACTTACAGCTAACGAAATATCTATACGCTTGTCTATTTCAAGTCTTCACTGATCTGCTAAATTTGCTTCAATTTTCATATTTAAAAGTGAAATAAACTTGTAAGCCATCATGTGCAATTCAGATGCCGATTTGCCTATTATTAATGGATTTTGAGATGCATGTTTACCAAATTTCATGAACATGCAGATTGGTGAGAATAGTAACCTTTTTATAATTTTGTGCTTTTCCTTCTACCAATTTGGGTCTGTATCATATATTACACAGTGCCTTCTCTTATAAACAGACACTTAAGAGTGCTACTCAGGCATTCAATACTTTACAAAATTACAAATTGCTTGAATATGTGTTTTTTACCTTATTTTGTCCTAAATCTGGTCCGCAATAATTTGTTCCTCAAAAGATGTGAAATACAAAAATCTTTAAAGTTTTTGTCATTCTTAAGGAACAAAACTTTCAGGAAAATCTATAGAAGAATAAAGAATCCGAGAATGAAGAAAATTTCTGCTCCACAATTAGATTTAAATGCTCGGGCATAAAATTCATTTTTCGTTCGATTATTTTGAAATTTTGTTGAGTTAAATGGCCTGCGACTGAACCACAACATGACGTCAATGGTTCCAATCTTACTGTTAACATGTCAAAAAAAACAAAAACCAACTACTGACAAAATGGTCATTTATCATCCACTTCTAATAGGGGAAAAAACATAAAGGTAAATCTAAATCCATTGTTTTCTAGTCGAAACAAAAATGCTAATAAGTTTTTTAGACTGAAATACACCCTAAGTCACTATCACTCCTAATCCACTTCTGCCCCACATCCATGAATATAGAGCTCCAACACCAATCCTTAGCTTTGAAATTTTAAATACAGTTTAAATTGCAAACTTGGGTTAATTTTCTAAACCATTCATCTCTACCACCTTTTTTTATTTCCTAACCAATATGTTTGCTTGGAAAGAAAAAAACAAAGACAAAAAAAGAAAAGAAACATATTACATTTTGAGCACCCTGATCCAGATAAATGGAAGAATCCCAAAGGCATAAATGTGCACCGATTGCAACCTTTTGTTCTCCATGAAGTAGCAAACTAAATTTGAACAATTCCAAATTTAAGGCTAAATTTAGAGAAAAATGATCAAAGGATAATTTGGTATAGTCTTTGATTAATACTTAAACCCCATTTATTTAATTTTTTAGCTCAATTTTAACCAAAATTGCCTTTCAAAATGTTAATTGTCAGAAATTGTGGTAAACAGCGAGTGAGTTTTCTTTTTCTTTTTCTTTTTACCATGGTAAAATATGTGATGAGTCCTTATTATCAACCATGGATTTACGGTCTGGATAACCACATCAGAAAAATTCAGCCCCAAAAGTTAACATTAATAAAAATAACAAAAAGGGTCTAGAGCCAAAAGAACTGGCTTTAGCATATAACACTAGAGGCTTTGGCATGAACTGAGTAATGCATGCATGCCTGAAAATAAAAGGGGACAGTTTTTTTGAGTCCTAGGACTCATATGTAGATATGAGTGCCCTCTTCATGATCCATTTTTTAGATGGATTTTGGACTGAATTTTTTAGATGTATATAATATTTAACATGGAGATCATGAATGTGTAAAAAATATTAATAAAATAAAGAAATAAATAATACTAAAAATGATAATTTTTGAAGGAAAATTACAAATCATTGATTTGCCCTTTTTGTTTCAAGATCGATCTTTAAGATGGATGTGTGATGCCTCGGAGGATGCAAATGCAAATGTAGTTACGCAGGGATGCATAAACTACTTTTCCTTCAAAAAAAAGAATCCCCAATTCTTCTAATATATTCAAATAACTGCCTATCCCTCGAAACAAAAGAAGCATATAAAGTGAACAAAAAGGAAATCACTGAGTTCAGAATCCACAAAACCATGGAAGACAAATGGGTTAAAATATTTCAGAACTGCAGCATACTACACGCCACTGCTTTAAACCTTGATGGCGGATTTCCTTTTGGGGAAATATTTCTCTTTCTTGCTCTCCCTCTCGGTCTTCAAGGAAGCCTACATATAAAGAAACCATGATGGCAAAATAAAAATTAATGCTCTCTGCAAAAATAAAACTAATATAAGCACCACCCTTCATAAAAAACTGAATAACGCGCAAGCACCATAGAGACACAAGTGACATAGAAGAACTCTTGCAAATCCATGTTTGGCAAGTTACACAGTTCAGAGGACTACGAGGATAAAGAAAACAGTTCTAGGAATTCATGTTTGGCAAGTTACACAGTTCAGAGGACTACGAGGATAAAGAAACAGTCATAGGAAGCGCACAAAAAAAAAGGGATAGCAAGATACTTCTATCACACACCCAATGTTACAATTGATTCCAGAGTTCAGAGGACCACGAGAACAAAGAAAACAGTTCTAGGAAGCGCATAAAAAAAAAGGGTAGCAAGATACTTCTATCACGCCCAATGTTACAATTGATTCCAGCTAATATGTAACTAGTGTTTTAAAAACCGGAGAGCTAGGTTGGAAACGGTGAGTAGGTGATCCAGTTCTAAAGACGCCAGACTCACCCGGTTCTCACCTGTTTTTTCATTTAAAAAAAATACAAAAAAAATCTTCGGAGAACTGGCAACCCAGGGCGGAACCTGCTGAGCCAGCTAGGTTCAGCCCTCAGTTGGGTTTCTAAATGACTACATGGACCCAAAGAATAAAAGGGAAAAAAAATTTTAACTTTATCTGTCTGTCATTCATTCTCCAAAATTGTAGAAACTTGACAAAAAACAATAGGAAAGCAGAATGAAAACCTTTTCCCCTATCCAAAAATCGAATCAACTTCCTTTATATTCTTCTCTTTCTTTCACAGGTGAGTTTCGCCTCCCAATCTGTCGAAAATTCGAAACTACACAGCCCAAAGAAAATCATATCCTTGATTATAGCTACTTAGTCAAAACATCCTTACTCAAAACTTCACAACATCATTCCACTCTTTTGCCCTTAAAAGAATTCCAAAAAAATATCCCTATCCTTAAATCACAAAGATATCCCGAACAAAGCTACAAGACCATATTCTCAAACTAATGGTGTGTCTAAGCTTCTTCTTTTTTTAATTATTGTTAACAACATTTAAGAAACATCATTTGAGAAACATGGGCTCGAAAACAAAAAACAGGAGAGCTCAAAGCACTAGAGTCAAACCAAATTTTTGAAAGTAAGGTTTGTTGTTTCAGATTACGATCTATCTCCATTAGCAAGCTGCCTGATTAAAAAACAAAGCAACTTCCCAAGCTTGTAGATGACAAAGCTATAAGAAGAAAAAGGTCTAATGTTCTTATACTCAACATAGCCTCACTAAACATACCCCAAATAATTCCAAACAATACAGCAATATTCATCACTAATCGATCACTATGCAAAAATATATTAACTTTTGGGATTGTGTATTATGAGACCATTTATCTTTGGTACAAGGCGGTTACAATTAGTCTTACCCATTATATGTCAAATTGGATGGCTTGGGGTGTGTCACAAAGTTATAAAAAAAAAATTTTAACTTTTAGTCTAGTCAATGACCAGTGATTCAAAAAGCAGACCGCGCAGCGCCTAAGCAGTCCAAAAGGCCTGGGCGCATCGCCTAGGCCTAGGCGGCCAATCTGGGCGGCAGTCCCTGAGCAACCGCCTAGGCGAGCGGCCAGCCCAGGGCGGCCACCCAGGCCTGCGCACTGCCCAGGCGCTACGAAACCCGCCTAGGCAGGCGCCCCACCTAGAGGCGAAAAAAAAAAAAATTTTGTATTGATTTCTTTTAAAACTATAAAGGGTTAGAATGATGGTTTTAAGTTCACTTGAAACATAAAACTTATTGAAGCCCATTTTAGAGAGAGAAAGCCTCCAAAAAACTAGTTTTTGGTGATTTCTTTAGGATTGAAGGATTTCTCAAAGTTGACAAAAATTGATCAAAATATCACCCATTGATATTAGATTTAATTTTTGATGTTTTATAAATCTCTTGGGAGTTTTTTAGAAGATTTTGAGTCCCTAGAAGAATCTTTGAGGTGGAAGTTTGAAGATTGAGCAATCAAACTCAAAATAAGTGCCCTAAATACCTAATTTTAATCCTTTTTTTATTCAAATAGACATCCTTTTTTTATTCGACTGGGCCACCCAAGTTCTGGGCGCCCGCCTAGGCGCTAAGCGGCATGGACCCCCAAGCAGCCTAGGACCCGCCTAGCATTTTTTGAAACACTGTCAATGACAATCTTGCAACACCCGATTTGAAATGCGACGGACAAGAGTGGGTAGGACCTCCTTATACCAAAAGTAAATGGTCTCATTATATACTTTTCCTTGACTTTTTCTATAAATCCTTATACGCAAGAAACAATCCAACAAAAACAATAAAAGTTATTTCTAAAGCCAGATTACCATACAACATAAGCAGAAGAGCACAACATTTTGTAGAAATCTCATATCACTTGCAACAATTCACAACAAGTGGTCAAACTATAATCCGACCCGATTTGAAATGTGACAGACGAGTGAGCACGACGAATACCAATTCACAACAGTCTAGTAAGTGACACTCTTATAACCACCCATTTTGAAAAGTGTGTGTGACCTCCTTGTACCAAAAGTAAATGGTCTCTTTGTATACTTTTCCTTAACTTTTTCTATAAGTCATTATACAGAAGAAATAATCCAACACAAACAAAAAAAGGTATTTTCTAAAGCCAGATTACCATACAACATAAGCAGAAGTAGAGAACATTTTGTAAAAATCTCATATCACTTGCACCAATTCACAACTAGTGGTCAAACTGTAATCCACGAAAATGAATTTAGGCACAAAACCAAGATAAAGAAAGGAGTGAACGAGGAGGCCAATAGGCCCAACAAAAAAGAAAATACCTGATGCTTAGTGAGACGGCGTCGAATTGCACGAGTCTTCTTTGGGCGGAGATCCAAGGGGAGGAACTTTTTCTTCTTGTAGGCTTCCCTCAGTGCAGCTTTTTGCTTCTGAGAGATGACAGTGAGAACCTGGGCAATTGAGAGCCGTACCACCTTACTGCAATGAACCCAAACAAAGATTAAAATATTGAGGAAGTAATTACCTGGAGAAATTTTAGTTGAGCCATGCTGGTGGACAACCAATGCACTAAGTAACTTAGCGAAAAGTCACTTACCAAGAAAGAAAATAAAACCTTTTGTAAAGTTCAAAAATATGTGAAAAAAAAAAACATTAACGAATCATATACAGAACAAGATGACCCACATTTTTGAGAGCTTGTTGGGGGCACCCCCAGTGACCTTGGCAACTCTGAGCAATGCAAGCTCAGCCTTAAGCTCTTTCAGTTGGTTAAGAAGCTCTGTCTTGGACTTAGTCCGTAGTTCATGGACCTTGATTCTCGCTGAACCATGGCAGAACCCACAACTCAGGGTCAAAAGAGAAATAAAAAAAACAAACGCTGCACCATGGCAGAAACCACAACTCAGGGTCAAAAGAGAAACAAAAAAAACACATGTAGATATATAATAACAACAGAAGTCCCACATATTTCCATTGAACCTGCTAACTTTTACATAAGATAAAATGACTGCTCATGATGTTGAAGAGACAGACTGTGTGAAAGAGCCTTATGCAACCAAAGTGATTTAAAGCACCTATTCAAACCTACAACAAAATGTAAAGAAGAACCATGATTGGAAAAAGTTCAGTAGGAAGAAGTGAAGAGAAAATAATAACGATGATTATAGGAGATGATATTCTTAGCACATTCACCAGGACTTGAACCACCGAAACTGCCCCGGGATAGTCAAACAAGTCAGTCGACCTTATGTTTTAGAATAAATGACTGGCCCCCCAACATGAGTGAATCCCCTAGAGAAAACTCTAGATATATACAGTTCTAAAGGAACAAGAAATTTCCATCGCAAATCTAGCCTAGGAATAGTGACCCCCCACATAGATAAGCATTAACTGGCCCTAGGCAACATGAGAATGATGGGCAGACATGATGAATCTTAAGAAAATGATCATAAACTAGAGGAGTTCCATAAAGTATGCCATGTTCTGCCGATTTAAGAGATGTTCTGCAGCCACTACTAATACATGCTGGTTTTTGTGGAAACTCAAATTGAAACAAGCAATGCATAGTAGGGCTTAAAAGCTTCATGGTGAGGCCAATCCAATGCCACCAAACTAACAATACCCAGAATCCCTACTCAATATGGACCACCTATTCCATTGAGGCTAATAAGTACGCAATGGAAAAGGAAAAAAAAGGCCCCCTTTGCTCCACAATAACAATATCCCATTAGGACCTGGAAATGTCATAAACCAATAACATTGCAGTATATCCAGAAAAACAGCAAAAAGAGAGTACATTTCTCCACAAACAATGAAACAAAAAGATCTAAAAATAGTTAATTCCAATAATGTGCATAAACAATGAAGGAGAAACCAAGATTTCCACTAAAACTTAATTGGAGCCTCCAAATTCACATAAATTCTATGAGTATGCAGGCGTCCAACTTAGATAGTTAGTTGGGAACATTCAATCAAACCCAAAGATGCAATCAAAACAAAAAATAGCTGAAATAACTGATAGAGCATATGGCTATGTTTATTACTAAGAATATGTTGAAAACATTTTGACGGGACAAAACCAACACAGAGAGCTATCTACCCCTCACCCACAAACCCACAAAACAGGCCATATGAACCCCATATCCTCTGTTTCAACGAACTACAAATCCATAAAAGTCCCTAGAAGCACTATTTGCGTCATCCATGAAACCAAGCTTCCATTTGTGAATATATGGATAACCCTAAATAACCAATATAATCACGAAAAAACTAAACGCATTAGAACAAGATATGTCAAAGTGGAGAGTTGCAGAAACATGAGAAGTGTAATCACAAATGAAAACCTCAGAAAAAATCATTGATAGACACAAAATGCCAGAAAGTTGCAGCTTCATAAGACTCAGAAGCACCATTGAAAGTTATCCCTAAACATTGAAAGTCACAGGAAGCTTGGAGTCTCACCCATGGCGCCCTACGGTTTCTGATGAGGAAGACACGCTGGAAACCAAGGGGAAGGAGAAGGTCGCGATTCTGTAGTAGGGCTACAAATGGGTCGGGCCAGGACCGAAAATTATTGGTTAGAATAGGCTCGAAAATTCAATTTGGGCTCGGCTGTAAATTTTACAATCGAGGATCGAACCCGGTGTAGCCCGGCTTGTAAAATTTTAGGGCCGCGCCGAGGAAAAAAATAACAACTAGAATTAAGGGCGTGGAACGGGCTAGCCCTTGGCTTTGACGTGGCCCCTGTGCCATACGGGCACGTTGTGTCTGCCAATGTAGAAATTTAAAGATAGATAAATATGATAAATAATAATAATAGGATTAGGCCGAACCTGGCACTACACTAGCCTAACCCTCGGGCCATAGTTTGTGGCCCATGCCCTATTTATTTAGAGCCAGTCCGGATTCCTTTCTCTTTTTTTCTTTTTTTTTTTTATTCCTTTTAAAACTGTCATTGATAATCTCAAACTAAAAACTAGTTAAATCAACCAAATTACCTTAAGGCTAGATATTTTACAGGCTCTCTTATTATGAAATGTAAACTTTGATGAGATAGGAGAAGTTTCGTAATTTTACCCACCTAAGTGACCCGAGTCAAATGGCATAGGTATCACAACTTGTTAAAAACAAGGATTCCAAGTGACAAAAAATGAATCTAGAGTTATCAAACCTGGATATGCATTAGGGTTTAGGGTCACGCAATTCAAGCAAAATGTCAATATTACTTCTCCATGCACTGAGCTAGGAAACCAGCACTCACTTTTCTTCATTGATAATTATTGTTCCAAATCTTCTTTGGTAGTTATTGTTCCAATGTCGGTTTATGGCTCCCTACTTGCATGGAGAGGGGTAGGCCACTTTACCATCCTCTTTAAATTAAAAAGATTTGAAAAAATATTCTTGCTCTATATTCCTAATCTTAAACAAATGTGTTACCGCAATCTACAAAATGATGCACACTAAGAAAGGAGCAATGTCCTTCAAGACTAACATAGAAAAGGCATTTGACAAAATGGATCTGGACTTTCACTTCCAAGTTATGTCGGCCTTTGGTTTTGCAGAGAACCGGTCTAATCAAACAATGCACCAATCCGGGATCTTTATCAATTTTGGTGTAAATGCCAAAATTTTTACGGGTGAGTTTCCATTGACTCGCAAGCTGCTCCAACAATTCCAATAAGGAAGCTTTCAAGGAATCTTGTATTGGTTATCAATGATTCAAATATTGATAGTACACCAGAAAGTGATGATTTTGCCGGAAAACATCATAAGAGGAAGAGTAGGCGTCTCCTTTAGAGTGTATCAACTAAGCAAGATAATATTTTGTATAATTTTATTTAGCAGCTGTGCTGAAGCTCTGTATAGGCCTTGAAATATTTTATGCAGTTGGTGCTGGGAAATATTGTTATAGATCTGTATCTTGCTAATGTTATTTTCACAAGTTAAAATCTTTTAGGTAGATGGTTTTGCAAATTATGTCTACAAATAGTTGTTAAATTGTGTCAAATCATGATCTAGATTCTCCACAGTTCATTTTTGTATTTTGGTGTGGAATTAATACGAATTGATTTGAGTGGTGGTGGTCATAATGTTTTGGGTGGCAAATACGCGTTATTTCATGAGGTGTAAAGTGACTTTCATATGCTTGACTATAACAGGCCGTTTGGATGCCTGAAAATATATTGTCTGTAAAATATGTTACCGGCATAATACATTATTTGCAAATGAATTGCCACTGTTTGGGTAGTATTTAGATGCAACTAAGGAAATATATTGTTATTGTTTGGCTATGTCGAGAAGAAATAAGAGAAATGCATTACCAACATTTTTTTTGTCCTTTTTTAGCTTTATACCCAAAACATGATTGAGCGTACAATCCCTATTAATATGTGGCTTAAACTTTATAATTGCATCAAGCATAAGAATTAGCCACACCTTTTGTATGCCTTTGCGTCTTGACTTGGAATATTTAAGATGTAAACACTTTGGAACAACATACTTTTATTATGATAAGTCATCAGATTTTTTATGTTTTTTTTGTTGTGCTAAAGCATTTTGATCATCTTCTGAAAAAAAAAAAATTCAAACACACTAATTTGACGATTTACTGTGAGTGAACTCAAGTATTTCGAATTTATCAGCAAACAATTGCAGCAAAAAAAAGAAAAAATAAAGTCAAAAAAATAAACACAATGATCTTAGAAGAGAACTAAAATCCGTTTATTTTTTTAGAATAATATCTACAAATGTGTTGCAGAACCCAAAAAATTGAATCTTCGATATTGGTAAATAAACAATAGCTATAACTGTGGTTGGCTGCTGTGTAATTTTTGAGATTTGAAGATGGGGTATGTGATTTTTGAAGTTTAAATATCTATGCAATTCTGTTTGCAAACAAAGATAGCTATTGGTTATTGGTTAAAGAAGATGAGGCTATCGCAAGTTAACTGCTGATTGAAGAAAACATTTTCTTTTTTGTGTGGTTTATTAGGAGGTGAATCACCATTTTTTTTTTTTTCTTTGTGGTTTATTAGGAGGTGAATCACGGTATTTATGATAGACACGCCCGAAAGATTTCCCCCGATTATCAGTTAAGCACGTAATAGATTTTTCACCCTTAACAAGGCGTAATAGATTTTCTGATTTTTTGGAAAATCTCGAGTAATCTTTTTCATTTTCTTTACTATTAAATTTACTATTAAATTGTACTCAGACAATAGAAATGTTACATTTCCGTATAATCTCTTTTCATGTAATAGATTTTCAGGTTCCCAAATGACTCTAAAGAAATGCTTAGCCATGAGTAAATATTTGGAAATGCTTTTCAGTTTTCATTACTATTCTCCCTACACTAAAAAGACCCATCTCGCTATTTACATCACTTTATGTTCGATTCTTGCATGAAGTGGGGCAAGAATACATTATGGGCAAAGGGAAAGAGAAAAGGAGAGACTTATGGAAAATGATCCTATGAGACCCCCTCATATCCATGTATGAGACCCTCCTATATCCATGTATGTAGGACCTAAACGATTACCATTAAATTTGGTACATATCTCTAGAGAAGTTATCACATGGGTGTGAGATTTGACTTTTATAGAGATTTGTGTCAAATTTAATGGTGATCTTTTGAGGTCCTACACACATGGGTGTGAGAGGGTCTCATATGATCATTACTCGAGACTTATACGAAGAAAAGATTATAGAGTTGGGAAACTCACCAAATTTAAAAGCATTACTTTATTCATTCATTCCCGAATTGAAGAGAGCATTGTCTATACAAAAAGCATTAATATTATCGCTTTGTCTCAAGGTTTGAAAACGGGAAGAAACATATAAAATGAAAATAATGAGTTTTAGGTTCCTGAGCTTGACAATCGAGGTTTCATTTCACATTTAGCTGGTGCAGCCTTGGCGTAATCCAAATGATATAAATCACACTTCTTGTCAATGTTTAGGAAGCCAAGAAAGGAGATTTTAATATAAAAAAGCTTGTTTTAGATTCTTAACTTTAAAAAACTAAGGATATTCAAATCATTTTCCCTTATCCATTTACAAAATTACTAATATCCCTTAACTTGTCCAGAGTCGTCTCCTAGAAAGGAAATGTGAAAAATGGTTAAAAATCAACATAAATTAAAAAAAGTAATAGAAATGATTAAAATACTACATAATATGAACAAAAAAATTATAAAATATAGATTATTGAAATTTTTTAATTATATCACGAATATTTAAAAAAAATATAAAAAACAAAAAATAAAAAATTGGACTATACGATAAGAGAAGTTTCCAAATCATCTTAAAAGCCATCAAAATCATCAAATAACATATTTATAAATATTTTCTGTTTTTTTTACATTTTTTTGTGTATTTTACATTTCTTTTTGGTGCCTAGTGAGCTGGGCACCCCAACGCAACCCTATTTGTAGACTAGGGTTTAAAGTTTTGGCTAGGTGTGTTGGGTTACGTTTGGGATAAGTGGATTTGGATATGGATTGGATAAATTTTATGTATTTGGAATGAGTTAAGATTAGAATGGTTGAGGAGTTTGATTAAAGTTTAGGTATTGGGAATGAGTTGTTATTATAATGGTTGAGGAATTTGAGTAAGATTATTAATCTTAAGATAGTGAAGGAAGAGTTCTTAAAATGGGTTTGGTTGGAGTAAAGAAATTGGGGATTATGGTAGATTTAGTCCTGTGGTTTTAGGGCATGGATTGCTGGATAAGGATTCATTTGGATATGGCTAGGGGATGTAGAAAAAGAAGGCACGCCCCTCTTTGGGATATACCCTCTCTTGTATGGTTATTCATATGGGGCTGTTTAATGTCCTTTTTTATTTTTCTTGTCTAGTTTCGAGATCGCTATGGCCTGGTCCAACTCTAAAAAATTAATATCTGGACTACCGAATATGGCTCGAGGATGGGGCCCGAGCTAGGGAATGCTGGTAAACTGTCTGGAGCCCAAAGTGCTACCACATAATACTCTCCCATATCTTTTATCATGGTTGATGAACAAAGTTGTTAGATTCGAGCGAAGAGAAGCAGTAATCTCTACTGAAGTAGAAAACAAAAAACCATGAAATATGGGCAAAATTCCTCTATATTGAATTTATTTTGGTTTTTTTAGGATCAAGGGTTCACCTAATGTCAGTTTTGAATGCATAAAGAAAACTAATATAATATTGAATTATTTAAATATATGTGGTAAGTTTAAATTTTAAGATTAGAAATAAATAAGGGAAATTTATCAATTTAACGATTTACCAGTTTGGAACTATTCCAACTCATAACTTCTTCTTCTTTTTTTTAATAGTAGTTAATTGGTCATTTGAGTTTTATCCCAACTATTTGGGGTCGGTTACTCAAATCTTATTCCGCCATTCATTGGATTAGGACTCATAAAATAGATGTAGCAAAAGTTTGATGTTGTCTGCAAACCTAACACAACCCTCCGCCTTTCTCCTCCATGTGGTTTTTTATAGTGTTTTGAAATAAAATCCAAAGATATAGACAAAGTGTTAAATCTTCAAGCTCCGATGGGTAATTCGATAAATTTTTCCAATTTTATCTTGGAGAATCCCAAAATTTTCATATTTTATGCCATGTCATTTTTATTTTTTTCCAAAATACCCTCGGTCTAGTACTTGAAGCACCAGGCCGCATCTATAACTTTATTGTTTTTTGGTGTGACAACTGGGGTCGACACTTAGAGTACTAGATCTGAGTTCTTCGTAGATAATGCTAGGTCGA